CTGTGAAGAAGTTCTTCCTAATGTCCAGTCTAAATCTGCTCTCAGCTAGCTTGTGGCCATTATTTCTTTAATTAGGGTTGCACAGGTGAAGTCCTAACTTATGCTTCTAATATAAGCTTCCTTAGAGATCCACTAACTAGTGTATCCAGGAACAGAGCAAGCCCTTCCACTTTTGCTGTCCCACACATGAACAGTGGGCTCTGAGCTCACTGCCTGGTTAGCACAGGCTCCTGCCAGAGCTCTACATGAACAATGAGTGCTGATCGCACAGCTTATCATGGTGGAGTCTGCCTAGACCCCTGCTCTCATGTTGCTCTGGAGCCCAGAGATGATGGGGCTGCTGTTCTTTCCCCTTGCTGGATACAGAGGCAGGAGAAATGAGAAGACAGCAGTGTGAATGCCAATGAGTGCTGATCGCACAGCTTATCATGGTGGAGTCTGCCTAGACCCCTGCTCTCATGTTGCTCTGGAGCCCAGAGATGATGGGGCTGCTGTTCTTTCCCCTTGCTGGATACAGAGGCAGGAGAAATGAGAAGACAGCAGTGTGAATGCTGGGCCCGGGAGTCCTTCAAAAGGTCTGGGCCCCCAGCCCTACCAGAGGGCCTCTCCAGCTGCCCAGGACTATGAGGCCAAGGACCAAAGTCTGCAACTCCTTCTCCCCAACAGCAGGCAGGTGTAGCAGAAGCAGCATGAGCAGCTCCCCCACTGCTTCTGCCTGCTCAGGTAATGAGGAATGGAAATCTGTGGCCATTGGAACAAAGGACCAGATCAGGATCATCTCTTTGCTCCTACTGGACAGAGAGTGGGCCCACCACTGTGTCACTTGCAATGGTCAGAGAGACTCACAGGAAGCAGCTTCTATGGGGTTTCTGATCTGGTCCTGTTCTGAGTGCAGAGCTGCCACAGCTCTACAGTACCAAGCTGCTTCCCTGGGGCTCTTTGGTCTCATCAACTTACAGCAACTCTGTGCTAAGAGCAGGGAAGCCTGGCAGCCACCCTCTCAGTGAAGAGTCACTATGACAGTTTCAGTGAGACTAGAGAGCTCCAGGGATGCTGTATTGGAGCTTGCTTGCTTTGAGTTCAAAGGGGCCTAATCAATTTTTCTCTGGACCTCGGGTGGTGACCACTGCCCTCCCCTCCCACCAGCCAGGCACCGCCTGAATTCTGTGGGGCCTGATCCATTTTTCTCCAGAGCTCAGGTGGTGCGTGCCCCTTGTGCCACTGCTGGCGGAAGCAGAGCTGGGCTGGATAGAGGCACTGCAGCTGCTGGACATTCGGAGGCTGTAGCACTCACTCTTCCCGATGTCCCTGGGGGATGAGGTGCCATGTCCAACCCTGCTGCACCCCACTGTCCCCACTCTTCCTGAGTCAGGAGGGGCCACTGCATTCTGGGATCCTGGAATACTTCAACTTGGGCAGAATAGCTGTGGGATGTGGCCACACAGTAATGGAACAGGAACAAAATTAGACAGATTGGAGATAATTCTACCCTGGAATGGTGTAACTTTAAGCAAAATAATGAGTGGTTTAAGCCACTTAAAAGGTGTTAACATGCAGCCAGTCCAGAGGTTAGAAGCTCCAGAATCCACCTAAATGTACTGTATAACAAGGCCCTAAGTTAAGCTACCTAAAATGTTTCATTTAAACTATTATAACTATTTAAAAAAATATATAAACCCAGTTAAAAAATTCTGTTAAAAACATCAAAATGTAAAATGATTATGCTTTTTTTTCAAATGATATATCAAATTTCATCTGAGTTTGAGAATGGACTTGGTCTCCTTCATCCCAATGTCTGGTGGAACTGTCAAAAATATTTAACTCGGGTCCAACACCCCCAAGGATTTCTTTGATTGCAGTAGCAATTATAGATTTGCAGCGTGAACAGATAGCACAGTCCCAGTGATATGCAGCGTGGAGCATATTCCTCTTTGTGGACTCTATCAGTGTGCTAACAATATGCTTGTGCACCGGTTGCTTGGGCTATCCTTGGGCAGGACAGCTACTTCCAGCAGAGGATACATGGATGCAGTCAATAGAATCATGGCTCTTCTGAGTTTCCCCCTGCAGGAGGGAGGTTCAAAGCCCCCAGCGACCGGGGCTGGTGAGATTGACCAGAAGGCTTGAATCATTGGTAGGTTTTTCATCTGCCAGATGAGAGGAGAAGAAACTTGTCCTGCCCTTTTTCATGTCTGGTTCCAAACCTATAGGCAGTTTTTCACAGCTAATTCTTTCCCTTTTTGGGCTATTGTGGCTCCTCCCTGTTTGTTTGTGGCCCAGCACTATTCCAGGCCTGCCCTTTCAATGGAAAGGGAGACCTCAATTGTCTTTTACACCCCAGCAGAGCAGATGCCTGGAGCTGTCAGGGTCCTTGGCTCCAGCTGCAGGGCAGCCATGAAGCTGAGCCCTGGACAGAGCCGTGGGTTGTGGGTTGTGATTCTGTCTCTCTGCTTCCTTGGCCCAGAGCTTGTTTTTTCAGAGATGTGGCCAGCAAGACAGAGAGAAGAAGCTGCGGGGGATAAAACTCTCCCATTCCAAGGTAGAGGTGGCAAAGCTGGACTGTCGGATGGACATGGAGGGGCCTGAGACTGCCCCAGATCAGCCATGACTGCATCCATGTATCCTCTGTTGGAAGTAGCTGTCCTGCCCAAGGATATCCCAAGCAATCGGCACACAGCCTGGATGACTTTGTTTTGGCTTCTCTCAGCCTTCTCCAGAAATCAGAGCCCTGGTGGGGTAACAGACCTCCCCATGGAAGATGCACCGTGGCCAGGCCACAGCTTTAGGGGCATCTGCCGTCGTATGCAGGTGACAAGTGTTGACCTGAGGCACGTAGGGGCTGGGTGGTGGCTCCCGGCCAAGCTTCCACCTGCTGTTGTTCAGGCGGACTGGGTCCATGGTGGGGTCTTGCCTGCAACCAGCCCAGACAAACCCCTCATCCTAACTCTACATCAGACGACTGTCAACCCTGCCATGGCACAGATGTGGCCTCCCTGAACCTGCCACAAGGAGATCAGGGGGACCGTGGCCGCCAGCGTCCTGCTGCTAGGAAATGTGGTCAATAGATGCTCAAGACGTCCCGGGTAGAGGCCATGCCCCTGCTGCAGGGAAAGGCCAACCCCCTCCAGTCCATACCAGCCTGACTAGTCCTGGCTCCAAATCTTGTGTTGGACTGACCCCCAAAATCCTTGAGGCAGGACCCTCTGGGGTTGGTCCCAGGAAGAGAATTGGCACAGCCTGGCCCCATCCCCAACTGCAGGCAACATCCTCTGCAGGTGTCTGGGGGAGGTCTGAAGCCCACCTGCCACATAGAGCAACCAGCAAAGCTGAGGAGCCTGGGAAACCTCTGTAGTAAAACAGGCATCCTAGATCATCCCCAACCAGTGGCTGAACCCCTTCAGCAATGGAGAGTCCCCAGTTCCCCTGAGCATCTATCCCACAGCCCCACTGCTTTAAGAGTGGAGAAATGTTTCCAGGTTTCCTACCTAAATCTACTTTGCTCCAACTTCAAGCCATTGCTCCGCATCCTCCTCTCTGCAGCCAAGGGGCTTCCCCTCTTCTTGCCAGAAGCCCTCCAATGATGTGAAGGCCACTCTCATGTCCCTCCTTTCAGCTGAACCTGCCCAGATCCTTCAGCCTCACCTCCTGGGTGCTTTCCAAGCCCTTCATGATCTTTGTTGCCACCTCCGCGCCCTCTTGAGCTTCTTCCCATCCTTTTTAAACCATGGAGTCCTGAATGGCACGATACCAATTGACGAGGCTGAGCCCACGTCAAGTAGAGGGGCAATATATCACCTCCCATGCCTTGCACCTGGTGCTTCTATCAATGCAGCCCAAAACCCCAATCGCCATCACTGCAGTTGTATTGAGTCTGGGGTCTACTAAGGCAGGTAAGGTCCTTTGGGTAGATGCAGAATCTTTTATTAGATCAACTAAATGGAAAAATTGTTCTTTGCAAGCTTTCAGGCACAAACACCCTTCTTCAGGCATAGGGAGTGTCATCAAGTATCTACTTGGTCTACCAAGACACCCACGTGGCCCCCAGACGCCCCTTCACCCCCGTCCCTACTAGCTGCTTTGTGGAAGCAGGAGATACCGAGTTTGGATGCAATTTACTGGTCACGAATTCACGCTGGCTGCAGCACTCAGCCTGGCCTACCCTGCAGGAAGGGCAACAATAGCTGGCGGGGGGGGGGGGCCCCAGGGAGCCCTGCCCCAGCCTCTGGGGCCCCCATGGAGACACAACCCCTTCCCCACCTCCCTGACAACCACCAGGACACAAGGCCAGGCTCAGACCTTTTATTCAAGGGTTCAGGGGGCATGGCTTAGTCCACCTACAGCCGGACTGACTACAGCAAGGAGGAAGAGGGCCGGGTTGAACCCTGGACTGTTCCCAAGAGCCAATGCAGGGTGGGTGAAAAACAAGGGGAAGGGCAGGGATTGGTTTCTAAGGCACTTAAGATTGGCCAATGAAAGCAGAGGGGGCAGGGCTTGGCCCTGGACCACACCTACAAAGGGGCGCAGTTTAATCCATTGACTGGCCAAGGCAAAAAAGGGTGCATGGTTTGGTCCCAGGCA